GGCAGACACAACATTTCCTGTGCAGTGGAATTGTCAATCATATGTAAGATATGCCTGTGAACTGGAGACCTTGAAACATGCACAGTGAAGCCTAGCATAGGTGTATCTAGTATCTCCAATACGAGCCAAGCCTTTGCATCTAACCAAAACAGCTTAAAATTTTAAAATCAGGGGTTTAAAATTTAGACTAACTTGAATGGAGTCAGACCATTGGTCAGAAGCAAGAAATGAGCTAGGGAGGCAGCTGGGGCATTGGATGACAAATAAAAAATAAAAATAAAATACTACTGGATGGGGATAAGTTGAACGGATTCTTTTCATCTGTCTTTGCTGCAGAAAACATAGCACAGATAGCATTCACTGTGACTATCACAAAGGGAGTCTGAGAAACAAATGCAAATAATGATAACAGGTAAGGTTCCCAACCTTATAGATAAAACAACAGTGAATAAATCACTGGGTCCACATGATATCCATCCTAGAATTCTTAAAGAACTGAATTACAGAATTATGGTTCACCTTCTAAGAAAAAAGCCATAACTTGTCCCTAAAATCAGCCTCTGTACCAGAGAACTGGAAAATGGTCAATGCAATTCCAGTTTTTTTAAAAGGAATCCAGGAAGGTTCTGGGAAATTACAGGCCAGTTGACTTAATGTCTCTTCTGGGTAAATTGGTTGAAAACGTTATAAAAATAAGCATCTAGAAAGACAGTGCTTTTCAACTTATTCATAAGTTACCTAGAATTAGCAGGGAGCAGGGAAATGGCTGTTTGCTAATTGAAACAAATTATATAGTTAGGGTGGTCAGAACAAGCTCCAAAAGGATCGATTCATACTGGCAGAATGGACATTAAGTACAGATCAATGTAATAAATGTGAAATGATTCATGATTGGTCAAAAATTTCAGCTTCAAATATACCCTGGAGAAACATGAGGTAACAGCAGGTATTTCAGACAAATCTGCAACAGGCTCTAATGAATTCAGATTTCTAAGAATCAAAGCTACAAATTCCACAGCAGACCAACTTTTGCTGAATTGTGATTCCAAGAACTTTTAAAAAATGTACATAATTTTATACACATTTCACTGTAGAAAAATAAGTAAAAGAAAAAATACTAGCAAATCTGTGCATTTCCCCATAGACTGAAGTGTGAAAATCTTTTTTTCCCAGGGATTTGCTTGTATGAAGTGTGCAATGCCAGGAATGGAAATTTGCCCAACTCCACATGTACACAAATGAGTGCCAACATATTTTTATAAAATCTGGTTCTATTATTGAGCAGATGATGGACTGAAAACCACCTGACTTCCCTAAGAGAAAAGGTTACAATAGCTGGCATAGTTTTGTTAAGAAAAAACGCTCAGGAAAGGGACATTACAAAATTATGCATGGTATGAAGAAAGTAAAAAGTGAGACATTTTTCTCACTTTATTAGAACCTATTGTCATTTCTCAAAGCTGATTAGGAAATTCAGGACAAATAAAAGGAGGCTCTTCTCCATACCGTACATAGTTAAACTATAGAATTCACTTCCTGAAGATGTACTAATGGCCACCAATTTGGTTGTCCCTAACAGGAGATTAAACACATTTAGGGAAGATTCAGGTATCAATAGTTTACTAGTCCTAAGGACTATTTCTAGTATCGGGGGCAATCCACCTATGGGCACCAGTTGCTTGGGAGCTACAGCAGGAAGGTCTGACCTGTGGGCTTCCTGTGGGTAACTGGTTGGCCACTGGTTGGACTAGACCAGGGGTCAGCAACCTGTGGCTCCGGAGCCGCATGTGGCTCTTTCATCCCTCTGCTGCAGCTCCCTGTCACTCAAAATATGCATCACAACTGCCAGTGTGTGACAACAGCTGGCACGCAATTTACTGAGCTTTTCAACCCCCGGTAGGCCAACCATGGATAAATCCAAGAAAAGAAAAGTTCCAGAAGAAAACAGAATGTTTAATGATACATGGGCAGATTCATTTGCTTTCACTGCTGATGAGACTGGTTTATCAGTCTGGGTTTTTTTAGGTAAAAAACAATATATGCAGTGTTATCTTCATTTTAGATGTCAAAAGGGTTTTGTGGCTCCCAGTGTTTTCTTTTCTGTGGGAAATGGGTCCAAATGGCTCTTTGAGTGGCTCTTTGCTGACCCCTGGACTAGACAGACTTTGTCTGATCCAACATGGTTCTTCCGTTCTAACGATCCACCCCCCTTCCATGGGGATATAGAACTTCTTTCCATTTCAGATAAGACTTTGTGTGGGGGGGGCACATTCTAGTGGTGGTTGGAGCAAAGGCAAAAGTGGTAGTGCCAGAAATGCCAGTCTATTGTGCCTTAAAGCTTTTCCTGCCAGTAACTAAGCCTTAAGAGAGGCATTTCAACCTTTGGGATTGAAGCAAAACTGCATAATAGCTGTGAAAACACCAAATGATTGCTGCTTAGGGAAGAGGTGGTGGTTGGGCCAGAGGCAAGAGCATGGCCATTTGGGCAACCCCAGAGTGCTGGAGTGGGTCCAGTTTGCCTGAAGCTTCCTGCTCCAGCCCTACCAACTGCGTATTTCCTTATGTGGTTTCCAGAAGAGTGCTTTCTGGTCTAGTTTAAATGTAAACTTGTTCTCAGATAGACAGATCTTGTTTCTCCCACAGGTAGAGATCCTCCATTTCTGTCTCCTGTGAAGTTTTGCTTACGCAACTCCTTTTAAAGGCAGATGACTTTTTCTGATGATCTCTGTCATAATAAACCCCAGAGACCCAGTCTCAGACTGTTCGTTACCCTGCGTCCTCCAATTCCCTCAATGGCCTTTTGAAGTTCAGTGCACACAATCTGGCTTCCTCTCATTGGCTCTGTGCTCACCTAATTGGCTGGCTGACATCCCCTGACAACATTCTGTAATGCAGCTGACGCCCAGGGTGCAACATCTTTGGCTGAGGAACTTATCTTATACAAGGATAGTTAGTTATACATCTCCCTGCCTATTTTCCTACAGTATAAGAACATCTGTTTTGTTGCTGCTGAACCCTTCTCTATAAAATCACCATATTAATTTGGTTAAAAGATGTGGCAAATACAGAATGGACTGCATATTTTCCAGAGTCAATTCTAAACCATTTTAATAGGTGTAAAAGGAAGGAGCTAATATCAGTGACTGTGAGAGCATCCATATTTGGTGACATATGCATTTATTAAGGGAGTAAACATGTCTCAATAGATCCTGCCTCTCAAGGCAACAAGATGGACATCCCCACCACTCCAGGGTAGAAATGGAAAGTAAGAAGGTATATTAAGAACCCTTATACTGAGTCAGATTATTGCTTTGCATTATTTATTGTGACTGGTGGTGGCTCAAGAGGACAGCCTTCTCCAATCCAATGCTTCCTTGATGTGAACTACAATCCCATCATCCTCAGCCATTATGGCCACTGGCCATAGCTGAGACTTTTGATGGTCTCCAAACTTCCTTGTTGACATCTGCCTAGATGAACTCACCCTTGATAATTCACTCTGCTAGGGGCTGTTTATATGTTTGCTGTTTATAAGACAATGCACTCTTCTGTAACGTTCAGAGAAAAGATCTTATGCACAGTTTCACATCTGAGATTTGAAGCAGCTCCACGAATGTAAAGCCTATTTGGGCCAACATACTCATTCACATTGCTAATGTTCCTCTTTGATTTCTTTACCACATTATTATTCAACAATATCATGACAAGGGCTTAAAGGCTACATGAGAAAATATTCTTAATTTTACTTCCTTTAAAAACAGCAGAGACCAAGAAAAGATGGCTTTGAGCTCTATGATGCAAAAAAGGGCTGGTGCTTTAAATCTTAAGTGCAGTTCCATCCCTCCATTAGAATCAGTGATTTTAAAAGTTCGCATGATCCTAAACACAAGATCCTGAATGGGATCAGAATTGAAGAAGGAACCATCACGGAACTCTGAGGAATTGGATAGTTGGCTCCTGTTTCACCACACACAGTATTTCCATCTCCTACAAATCAAAGACTGAAATAGGCAGTGTGGATTACTAATTTATATGCTTAGATCTAAGACATAAGTTCATATCTCACTCTGCCATGGGCCTAGTGGCTGATACTGAATAAGTCACCATGTGAGTCTCAGTTCTCCATCTGTAGAACAGGAATAGCAATCGCCTACTTGTGAGGAGGCTGGAAAATTAGCTGCATCACATTTTTACAGTTAATAGGAACTGGTGATAAAAGAGCAATGTTGGTGATAATGGGAATAAAGATAAAAGAGCTCCTAACCACGAGGAGTCTATTTGCTTAATACTAGAAAAATGAAGAATTACTCATTGATGATTTGATTAAAAGATCCTGATCTGTGCAGAAATGCTCAGACTGAATTTACCATTGAAGGAGAAAGAAGATATTGACTTCTATCAAATTTGGAGATTTTTTCTTTTATTATTGGCTAGAGAAACAGGACTTTGCATAGATTTCAACATGTTTGTTTTTTGGACTTGGCTTAGATTTAAATATGTTTTTAAATTACATAAATGGATTTGAATATGACTAAGGAATGTTAAAAAGAAAAAAAAGAATGAGTAGGGGGCTGACCCAGTATGTCTGATGTAATTGATGGTTGATGTTTTTAGTGTTGGTCTAAAAAATTTTTAATAAAATTTATTAAAAAAAAGAGCTCCTAACCATGAGCAGATACTTACATGTGACCATCTCTGTTCTAGAGCTAGGAAAAAATATGTGAAATTCCTCCATGACCGCATCAAGTTTCTAATAGCCAACTGGAATTGTTCACCCTGGTCCTACACACACACACACACACACACACACACTAGCTATATATGTATGATTCTAGCATATCTAGATTTTTTAAAGCATGCACTTGTACTGCCTTTCACCAGCAAGGCACTCAAAGTCAGTAGGTTTGTATATAAGCTATTGTATATGCTGGTCATAGTAACAAAGATTTCTAGGTCAACAGATTTCCTACTAACATGTAGTAAGATCAGATAGCACCTACCACGAGCTGAGAGCTTCTTTGTGTTTATGATTTTGGCAGCATACTCTTGTCCCGACAATACCTTCACACACCTCCTCACAATTGAGAAAGCACCTCTGTAGGAGAGAACAAGAAAAAACAACAAAGTGTATGTAAGCAGTTAGGCTGAATATAGTCACATACCAAGTGTTAGCATGTTTAAATCTAAGGAAGTTCAAAAGCGGGACCCTGCTGGATCTGCTGTCAAACATTTAGTTGTGTCTGACCCTTGGCCACTCTAAGGATCATTGCTTTCCATGCCTCTCTGTCTTGTACTGCTTCCTTCAAGACCACCATGTCCATCCCAGTGTCTTTCCTTATGGTATCCAGCCAGCAGGTGCTGGGGTGGCCCCTTCTCCTTTTTCTGCTGATCACTCCCAGCATGATTGACTTTGCAAGTGAGTCAGCTCTCATGACATGACCATAGTATCACAGTCTTTTTTTGGTGATCTTGGCTTCAAGTGATATTTTTGGTGGATCTGACCAAAGGCTAAATAATCCTGTAACCTATTTCCTCCAGAAGCAAATCAATGCCCATGGGAAGCTACCAAGCAAGATTAAAGGTGAAATAACTTCAGCAAGTGGTACTTAGAGGATTGTTTCTTCTGATCCTCGAGGTGGCATTTAGTCTTCGTATAGCCACTGATACCCCTTTGCTTTTTTATTAGCAGCATACTGCTTGTGAAATGTCTCAGGAAGGATGAGGGTCTTTAGGAAGATGTTGCAACGCATCCTAATCTCATTAGAACTACTCCAGTCATGCCTGTCTCCTTTGCTGCAGCACCTTTTTTCCTTTGCTTCAAGCCCTTTCTTCTCTCCCTTTACTACCACAAATCATAACACCACCTCTGTGTTCAGTACACAGCCTAACCTAAAGGAGTATTCTGTCCTCTCTTTGAATATGAGAACGAGAAAGGGTCCCCAACACCAGGGACGTGGGGGGCACACTTGGACATTGGAAAAAATGCCATGGGAGCCATCACCAAATGGCTGCTGTAGGAGCCTAGCTTGTAACAACATGGCTGCTCTTGGGACTCAGCTAGTCAGTAAGGGCATGGTAAGTCAGAACAACTTCCCTAAGGACTGAAGGAAGATGATGTGTTTGAACCCCAAAAGTATTTGAACCCACAGCAAAATATTCCTATCACCAGGGACACTTAGAGACAAGTAACTTGCCCAAGAAAGATTCAGAGTTTGAATTTGAACTCCACATGGCAAAGGAGAGAAGCTGCAGAAGGGAGAAGGCCTGTGGCCTGCAACTGATCGACTTCAGGTGTCCCTAATTGTATGGGCCCAAGGCTGCGTCTCCAGCAAGAGGCCTCCGCTTCAGCGTGTGTGGAAAAAGAGGGTTTGCGTGGAGCTCAAAACTCTGAAAGTACCTTGTGGGATTTTCTGAATTCATTTCTCCTGCAGAGACCTGGTGCAACCTTTTCATTTGTGCATAGTATACCTTAGGCAACTAGAATTGTATCACTGTTCAGTACATGCCACAAATTGTTTTGTGTGTTAGGTTTCTGATTATATATAAAAATATTGGCTCTTTCTGTATCTTTTCTTGAAGCAACATATGATTTCAGACACATACATAGACAGAACCTGTGCCCTGTATTAGCCAGTTGGCAGGGTTACACTCAAATGGCACAACAGTAAACCCATTTCTCTTATTCAGGATCACCCTGAGAGCTTTCTCTTTCTCTCATGCATACATTCTCATCCATCTGTTCTCACATAAATGAAGCATATTCCCCACTCATCTATCATATGCATAAACACATCCATCTTTTCTCCTCTCCAAATTCCCTAATAGTCACTCTGCAGTCCTTGCCCCCACCTGTGTCACTCTGCAATGGTTTACCAAGAAGTAGCCTGTGAATAGTTAGCTGCCTTTTCTTCTAACTTCCAGCAGCTGGCAGGCACTGCAGGCCCAGGCCCAGGCCCAGGCCCAGAGGCTCTCCAGAGAACTTAGGAAGGCAGTAGCTGAAGCCTTAGCTGGCTTTGTAGCACACCCAGGCACCCTACAAAAAGCAGGTGGCAAGGGAGCAGGCAGGCAAACTTTAGCAGAGCTACATCGGAGCTGTGCCGTTCACAGTTGCCTGCCGCACTGGGAAAGCCTGAGATAGGAGGATATTGAAGGAAATGTGTTGTTTTACATACCCATGATGTTGCTAGCCTGCTCTTTCTCCAAGGGCTTCATGCAACAGCCAGCAGCCTGGTGAATGACTTGCCCAAGGCCGCCCTTGGCTTCATGGCTGAGAGGGAGCTGAATGTTGCTTTCCCACATTCAAGCTCAACGTTTGGAAGCAGAAGTGGGAGAAATGTTCAAACGACTAACTTGAATGGAAATACTGGGAGAGTTTTTTTCCCAAATAGAGGTGATCAAACTGGCTTAGATCCAGTTAGGGAAACATTTTCACTGTAATGGATTTTAAAGGAGAAAGAGTAATGTGAATGCAGCAGAAGAGGCAGCGGGGGTGTGGGTGGGGAGGGGCTCCCTGTCACAGAATGTGCCTATTTGTCTCCTTTAGTCAAACATTTGGCATGTTCTTCCTTCCTCCCCACCCCCACCCCACTCTGAATGGTAACTTTTTCCATTGGTGGAAAGCATTAAGCACCTTCTGTCTTATCAAATGTCTCCCAGCACAAATGGCAACATGTGCCAATAATAATGTATTTTAATGAAGGAAAAGAGCGTCACCAATGTAATTTTTGTGCAACCCCCCCCCCCCTCAGTTAAACATGATATTGCTCAGGCTTAACATCTGTGCTGACTGAAAAGGTCATCGTACCAGCAGCTACCACATCTCTAGATTCGCCATGCTAAAATGAAAATAAAATCCCACCACTGATGCCAGAGAGCAAATTCTGCCGCCATTTTATGTGTTTCCTTCATGGTGCACCTTTGCACAATGTATTTGCATAGTTGCATGAATATTGCAAGAAGCATACCAAGCTGCAGACTGGAAATCAAGCCAACATTTTCTATTGGACAAGGGACTTGGGACTCACCCCCAATTCAGGAATCTCCTGAGATTGTAAAATGTCCAACCTTGTTTCTAATCTAATTAAATTCCTCTAACCTTCATACTGGTTTAGCTACTTAGAGCATGAGAAGTACAAGAAGCTATCCAAGATGTACTATCCATCACACTTTAAAATCCAATTGAAAGCCCACCACCCCTTTTCCAAAAATGTGCACAAGACAACAGTCTTCTCTCTGTCTGCCTGGAAACCACATTTTCATGTGGGAGTCTTTTTTCACCCAGACATAAAACTGGTCTGTGAACATTCGAGTTCAGTTTCTTAATCTCTCTTTCCCTTCTCCTGATTAGTTCCTCCTTCCCCTCAGTTAAGTTTGTGATAATCAGTTGTTCTGCCTGCCACCCTTGCATCATTGCTCCCCTACCAATTTCAGCACAGATTAAGGAAGGACCAGAATTCTCACTTTTTCCTCTCACTCTGTCTTCTGCTCCCTCTCAGTCCTACTGCAATTCTCCCTTTCCTCTGCCTGCTTCGAAGTCACAATGTACAACTGCACCCAACATCCCTTACTTGGCTCCAGACCACAATGACTATGGAAATGCTTCTTCTGATATGAAACCTCCTGCTTCTCTTCACCAGGAGCCTCCTCCCAGAGTGGCTCAGAGGGTGACAACAAGGGTGAGGACCTTCACAGTGGCACTACCCCCCCCCCCAATGATGGAATGAACTTGGTGAGGCCCACCTGGTACCAATATTCTTATATTTCAGGACCACATTAAGACCATCCTTTACTCCCAGCCATTGGACACATATGATAGGTTTTTAATTAGGTCATCAAATATTGGATATGGATATGTTTGGATATTTATTTCTTCATTGGATTTATTTATTAGATTTCTTTTGACATGTGTTTGGTCTGTTTAGTTTGCAGCTAAACTTTTTGATACTGCGCACAATATTGTAATGTTAAAGTTGTTTCCTCTTTGTAAACCATGCAGTGAACTTTGGCTATTGGGTGGTACAGAAATGTAATAAATGAAATTTCGACAACTGGTCCCCCCGCCCCCACTGCCCTTTCTGGGAAGCCTTCTCCTGTGAGCCATTTAGTTGCTTTTTGTTTATAGTTTTGTCAGTAAAGCCCCCTTTTCAGAAATATTCTGATCTTGTCTCCATGTTATGCCTTTTCAGTATTTTACCTTGGTACTATTCAGACTCCATAGTCAAAACCTTCCCAACACTTGGCTCTCCTGTACATCAGATGAGGCATGCTAAGTGGGGCAAGTGGCGTGGACAGGTGGGAGCCTATGTTCTGGCTGAATTGAGTCCAGGTTTCATGGGAAACAGATCGCCTAGAAGCACTTGAGCTACACATGTGCATTCCTTGGTGTTCTGGAATGTACTATGGGCTATGCACCCATTCTCTGCTGAGATCAGTTTCTCACAGGGCTGCGAGGATGAAATGGAGAGGAGGAAGATTGTATCTGAGTAACTTTGTATTCCTTGCGCAAAAAGAGGCAGAATACAAATGTGATAAATAAAAGAAGAAAGGTTGTTGTTTTTGTTATTTTAAAGCAGAGCCCTTGACCTTTTCCAGGAAGGTGCAGGTTCATGGTACACCCCACTTTCCAAGTGGAGGTAAACTATGGAACATGCCTCTTTCAGGAGGCTTCCACACACAGGGGTGTGCAATTCAAATCCTGGTCTATTTTTAGATGCTACAGGCAGTATCCAGGGGGACTGTTGCATATGTGGGACCTACTGCTTTCTCAACAGGCCTTTTGCACTTCCAAATGTAACCCCCAAATTGGCAGAAACTTTTAATTCTGTATTAGGACTGGAAATGGGTGGCTTAGCTCATTCTGGATTATTTTTCAAACCACAAAAGCTCCATTGTGCAAGCAATGGGTCCCATGAGCACAGGGACACAGCTCAACTGACCTCTGAGAGTAACGTAAAAGCTGAAGTGAAAATGAAGCTGCACATCATGATTCCCCCTCCACAGTGGCCACTCTTTAGTCAGAAAGCCGAAGCTGCAGCATCTTCAGCTTTGACCTGAGCAGAGTAATCTACCTGCAGAGAAAGGTGTCCTGACGGTCTG